ACTTGACACATGTACTTAAGGTTATAATTGAAGGTCACATCTCATGATGCATTACTCTGCAATGTATTTTGACTGAATTATGCTCCCTTTTGTACTAAAAAATCTCCTTTTCTTGGTTAAGTTTAACATGAAAGTTTTATATATCTCTGAAACTATTAAAGATACAAACTTGAAACTTCGTATCAATATTTGTGGTTAAAAGTAATGATCACTGAACAGCACTCATATCTGTGTCATGTATTTAGACTTGATTTATCTCCCCCTTTTTACTTAGTCTCTTTGTTAATGTTTACATGTAAGTTTTAAATATCTCACATAACTATCAGCGATTTTGATTTGAAACTTCACATATGCATTTAGGGTCATAATTGTATTTCACTGACCAAGTCCCATAACTCTAGCTTGCATTTAGGCTGATTTATCTTCCCTTTTCTACTTGGTTAATGTTTACATGCAAGTTTTACATATCTCAATAACTATTAAAGATATTTATTTAAAACTTCACATTTAGGGTCATAATTGTAGATCACTGACCAAGATTCATAATTCTATCTTGCATTTAGGCTGATTTTTAACCAGGTTTTCCGAAGGAAAAAACTGGTTATTTGAATGAGGTATTTCGGCGAGCAGGCGGGCGGGCGTAAACAATTTCTTCTGTGCGCAACTCCTCCTAAATTTCTCAACGGATTTTGATCAAACTTTCACATAATCTTTTTTATCAAGTGCCCTGGCACATATTGTCGGGGTTTTGTGATTGGATAATATTTGACCTAATTATGGCCCTTTGTTTTTTTCCTTATATAGAATATATAATGAACAATTTCTTCTGAGTGCAACTCCTCCTACATTTTTCAACAGATTTTGACCAAACTTTCACAGAAGCTTTGTTATCTAATGCCCTGGCGCATATTGTCGGGGTTTTGTGATTTGATAATATTTGACTTAATTATGGCCCTTTCTTTTTTCCCTTATATAGAATATATAGTGAACAATTTCTTCTGTGCGGAATATGCTATTATATGAAATTTGGTGAAAAGCAAGTTTTTATAAAGACTTCACTTGGGATGGCTTTTTGGCCCCTAGGGTCAAGGCTACAGTTACTAAAAATAGAAAATTCATTATTCATGATTTTAATTGCACAAAAATTACATTGTTTGTTGCTTGTATTTGTATTTCAACTACAACATGTTTATCTACAATGGTGATAATTGAAAACCTGGTTTCATGGCAGTGCCATGTTTCTTGTTCTCCCCTTTTTCAACTTATGAGTTCATAGTAAAGTTTTGCTTGTAAGCTGTTATCTACATAATTACTGAAGGCTTTGTGCCTTTTTTGGACAATTTTATGCATTCATAATAATAGAGCAGTGATTTACTTGATAAAACATCTTATTACAAGCCTATGTACCTTTTTGGGTCAATTTTATGTATTCATAGGTAAGCATTATTATACGCAAAAACACCCTTGTGACAATTTTTACGAATAGTCAAGCCTTAACTAACTTTCCTCCGACAGTTCTTGTTAATTTGTTGTGCATTGTCTTCATACTTTGACACAATAACTCTTGGGACAAGACCTTTAAGTAAACCAGACTAACCTTGTTCTTCATAAATGACATTGACATTTGTCAATTTACTTAATTTTGCTTGTTTTTTGCTATTTGTCGCTTTAACTTTTTAGCTCACCTGTCGCAAAGTGACATGGTGAGCTTTTGTGATCACTTTTGATCCGTCTATCCGTCCGTCTATCTGTCCGTAAACCTTTACTTTAAATAACATCACCTCATAAACCCCTGAGCCAATTTCATCCAAACTTCAGAGGAATGTTCCTTTGATAGTCAAGTTAAAAAAATGTACAATTAATTTAATTCCAAGCAGAACTCTGGTTGCCATGCCAACCGAAATAAAAAAAAAACTACTTAAAATATCTTCTTTTAGTAAACTGAAAGAGCTAGAGCTGATATATTTGACACGAATCATTATCTAGTCAGTGTCTACCAAATTTGTTCAAATAAAAGCCCTGGGGTCAAAATTTGCTCCGGGGGACATTGAATTTCCTGATATAGTAAAAAGTTAAAAAATCTTCTTTTAAAAAACCCAAATAGCTAGAGCTATCGAGAATCGTAATAGTGTAATATAAGAATACGTCTTTTCAGGTTCGTACCTTTATTGTAATATATAAACATAACGTAAACCGGATGTGACGTCTACAACGTAACGTATAAATAGCGGTAGACGTCACGTGCAAAAGAGCGCTTACGTACAAATCTTGACACTGGGGGCCGCGAAATGATATAAAATGCACGTAGAATGTGTTGAAAACGTTTTGAAACATTGTTAAATAAAAGTTATCAAAATGTTACGTCCAATACATTTTAAACAGTGTCCTTTAAATCAATATTCACTGATAAAGATATTGTTACCTGGAAATTGAATAGATATTATCACTTTTAAATCACTTCTAACGGATAAAGTTTCACAACGGCTCTGTATGTAACACCATTTTTGGTTCTTATTTTTGCTGCACGTGTAAAGCCATCTCTTCCGGTTTATAAGTTCCTCCACTACTGCTAGTTTCCACTGAGAACGTGGTTTTTCGTCATGGATCTGCACTACATCTCCAGCTGATATCGTCTGAATATTGTTTCCTGTCGTCTGGTGGTGTTCACGTAAGGCAGTGAGATACTCGTGTCTCCATTTCTCCCGGAACCGGTCAATCAGTAATTTCTGAACTCTGGCTCTTGTAATACATGTGATATCACTTAAACTGGAGTTAGTAATTTGTGTATCGGTAACGTCTTGGTATGTAATGTCGTTAATCTTCGGCCGTAAAGTAGGTGGGCTGGTGTAAGTGGTTCAGCATCAGAAGAATCGGAAGAGACGTACGTTAGTGGTCTGTCATTCATCACGGCTTCTACTTCCGTCACAACTGTTTGTAAAGTTTCATAGCTTATGTATGTCCGTCCGAGAATCTTTTTCAATGTTGTTTTTGTCAGGCCAATAAGTCTTTCCCACCAACCGCCATACCATGGTGAACATTTAGGAATAATGTGCCACTGTGTACACTTGTGACTAAGCGTTGATTGCAGGGAATCAGACTCAAACAGGCGTTTGATGTGGTTAGCTGCTGCCATATAAGTCGAAGCATTGTCCCAAATCATGATCTTAGGCACGGACATACGACTGCAAAATCTTCGGAATGCTTGAAGAAATGAATCTTCAGATAAATCGGGAACTAGTTCTAAGTGTACGGCTCTAGTTGATGTAGATGTATGCTCTTGTCTCACTTCCGCTTTTATCTTTCACGAATAAAGCGCCAGAAAAATCAACTCCTGTGACTGAGAAAGGTGGAGCATCGTCAACTCTATATTTGGGAAGATGTGGTGGATCCGGAGCGTTGTATGGTTTCCCATCTGTTTTACGGCAAATGACGCATTTTCTAATTATTACTCGAACTACCTGGCGGATTGACGGAATCCAAAATTTTTGACGTAGGTATGTTATTATCACACTTACTCCGGCGTGTAGTTGGCGTTCATGAGCATCTAATATAATAAATAAGGTGGGTAAGATGATATACTTTGCTGGAAGTAAATATGGGAACTTTGTCGTTTCACAAAGGGGTGCATTGTGAATTCTTCCGCCACAACGAAGTTATCCTCCGGTATCTATGAAAAGTCGGAGTTGTTTCACGAGTGGATTTTTAGAAGATTTTAGGTTTGAGATTTCATCACTATAAATTGTAATCTGACAACTCTTCAGCCATAACTGCTCAGCATTTTGTAGTTCTATAACTGTTAATGGTGTAGGCACCTTAGGATTTGTTGTTCTTGACTTGCAGTGGCCGACAAATCTAAGTACGTATGCCGTAACGCGAAGAAGTCTTCTATATGTGCTGAATTTACTTATGTCAATAATGTTATGTAAACCAGGTATATGTGTTGTTTCTTGGACAAGAATTGATGAAGTGTTCTCTGGGTTATGTTCATAGCTGTCATTTGTTACTGTTGTCATTGTCAAAACTGACTTATCTTGTCGATTCCATATAGGCCATCTTAAAGGGTCACATATCCATGTAGGTCCAGATATCCAGAGATCATTACAGCTGTATTGCTTTGCAGAAATACCAAGTGTTAAGAGATCAGCAAGGTTTTCATTGGTTGGGCAATATCTCCAGTTTCGTGTATTTGTCAGTTCCTTTATTTCTTGCACTCTGTTTTTTTACGAATCGTTTTTTCTGTTTAGATGTGTGTATCCAATGCAGAACTATCTGACTATCTGACCACATGTAAGTTTTGTCTGCATCTACTGAGCATGTACGTTGTAGAGTCGAGAGCCTACAACAGCGGCCATCAATTCCAATCGTGGTAACGTCAACGTTTTTAGAGGTGCTTCACGGTTTTTCGCTATAACAAATGTAGATTTCTGTTTTCCGCACAAATAGGCTACAGCGCCATAAAACTGTTCACTTACATTGACGAGGATGTTAAGTGTACATGTGTCGTACTTCTAGAGGTCTTGTAACATAATCTTTGCACGAATGGTAACTGGACTCAATATACCAAGCGGGTCATATACTCTGGACGTCTGCTGTAGTATTTCGCGTTTGGTGACGTAGGCTGCAACGGGAATGGGTTTGTCTATGAATGATAATTCATCTGTTTCTGTGTTCCATAGCATGCCAAGTACTTTGGTGACTGTGTCGGTGTCAAGGAGTTGTTCGTAAATGATCACAAAACTTGGCTATTGGAAGCCCATGATCTAAGGTTGAAACCTCCGTCTGACATAATATCTCGGGTATGTCATATCTGACTCAGCTGGAAAACTTGACAAAGTGTTATCAACGTATAAGTCTCTCTAAAAATATCAATTATCCATATGTTTTTGTTTTCTTCAAGATGTTTTAATTTTGTCGCACTAAGGATAAATGGAGAACAGGTTGCACCAAACAGAACAGAGTTAAATCTATAGGTAGTTAATGGACTATAAGCATCACTTGGGTTACTCAGCCACAAAAATCTCGTGAAATCTCGATCTTTCCTTCAATTGCACATGCAAAAATGCCTTTTCTATGTCAGTGGATACGGCGTATTTGTGTTGACGGAAGCGGATGAGGATACTTATCAAGTCATTTAATACGGGTGAGGTAGATTCTAGGCAATCATTCAAACTTGGAAGATCACGTGACTGTTTGCAGCTACAATCATTCACAATACGAATAGGTGTTGTCGTAGATTCTTTTTTCACTCCATGATGGGGAATGTAATGAGCATTTCTGGACGGGATCTCGGCGTTGGGAACTTTCTCTATAAAGCCTCTCTTTTCTTGTTCATTTATGATTTCTCCGTACTTTTGTAACATCTCAGGCTGTTGTTTCAATCTGTAGATAGTGTTCTGTGTTCTACGTTTTGCGATGTTGTAGTTGGTTGGTAGTGTTGGATGGTCAGGTCTCCGTGGTACCATAGCAGAATACCTTCCTTCTTTGAAGGTTATACATTTTTTCTGATACTCCCGAAGATAATTTGAATGAGAACTGCTTTCTTCGGGTACTATTCCAATTGACTCTAAGTTACAGAACTTTTCAAGCTGATTAACATCTGGGGGTGAAGTCAGCACATTTAGTATATGATTTGTTGTGTATGTACATGGTGTCTTCTGAAGGGGTCCTGACAAAAGGTATCCGATCTTTGAGCTTACGGCCGTAGGTCCATGTCCACGAATTACCCGATTCTGAACTATCTTCCAGTAGAAATCTGCACCTATCAGAGGCGAAATATCAAATGAATCTTGTTGGACTAAGGGATGTGCCAATTTAAGCCCCTGTAAGTATGGTAAATTGTTTACACTACTCGGAAGATTTTGAGGGGGAACTGCTATAGTTGGAACAATTAGAACCTGAATGGCTATCTTATATCCGGCATCCGTGACTAGGTAGATTGTTCCAGAGCTCATGTGTCTGACAGATTGGTTTGAATCTCCAAAGGACGTAAGGTGAATTATCTCAGTATGACTACGGGAAAGTTGTAATTTCTCGGCTAATTCCTCAGTAATGAAAGAACCTTGTGCACCTTCATCAAACAATATATTAGCTTGGGTACTATATTGTTTGGAACAAACTTCTGCGATAGCTGTCTTTAATAAAACATTTGGTTTCGACTGTGTTGCAAAGTGAAGTACATGTATAGTTGTATCACACCGATCTGTGTGCTGTGTAGACCCTGTAAATTGACGCAAACTAGTTTCGCATTTACAGGTATAATGTGTCCTTTTACAATTACGGCATCTGTAGTTTGATCTGCATTTTGTTACTTGGTGATTTCCTAAGCAGTTAAAATTTAAGTGTTTCGTTTTAATAATTTCGAACCGCGAGTCATGAGTACAAACCTTCGTACAATTGTTTGGCGAATGTTGTTCATTGCCGTATACACATGTTTTTATAGCATCAGTCTTAACTGTATCTGTTCTTCTAATATTTGGTTTAGTTGATTTCTGTCTAGTTCCGGTGAAAAATGAAGCAGTAGGGTCGAGCGCATCTACTTCCGGTATAAGTGTCGTTTGTCCCACATCCATAATTGTGATCTCTTGATGGAGTGCCTTTCGAAGGTCAGCTAAAATCCAGCTATCGCTTCTGTGTTCCCTTGCTAAATTTTTCCGTATTTCTACCGGAAGTTTACCAATCACTACTGGTACAAGTAGAGATCCGTATGTCTCTTGAGGTTGACCAAGGGATTCTAAACCGCGAATGTATGATTCCAGTTGATCGTAATATTTCTGTAGGCTGCTTAGAGTATTATTCGGTGTCGGAAGTTGTAATAAGGCTTGCATATATGCGTGCACGATCTTATGTGTTTTTCGTTCATGAAGTAACTCGACCGCTCTAGAGTAATTGTATTTTTGAGTGCGAAACCCGCTATGGTACTGGCTGCTGTCCCCTCTATCTGAGCTTTCAAATATGTACACTGAGAAACGGGTTATTATGTACGGATGATTCATAATAATCCAAGAATGTCTGCCACTGAAGTAAATCCCCTGCAAATGTTGGAAACGATAATTTTGGAAGTTTATGGGACATCGAAAATGTTGAACTTACAGTAGGTTGGGAAGTTTGTATACCAGACCACAGTGGAAAGGCTGACTCGCTGGTTTGTCGGTATAAGTCTCCATCTGAGTTTTCTGCATTGTATCCCCTACATTTTCTGTAATCTTCCAAAGCACTTATTTCAATGTCTATACTCAATGTATATTCCTCTGTCTGCAAAATCTCATTTTCAATATCAGAGGGCTGAATAATCTCAATAATTTTCTGATCAATGTCTTTGACATCTCGTAACTTCATACGGATGTTCTGTAAGATCGTGTTGAATGCTGTCGGCGTTTGATCTTGTTTAGCGACTTCAATTATCTGCAAATATTGTTGAATTACTTTTTATGCCCCTCTCTAATAAGAATAAGTCTCTCCATTTTGTTGAGGTTTGTTCACGTCATCAATATCAAGAATCGTAATAGTGTAATATAAGAATACGTCCTTTATTGTAATATATAAACATAACGTAAACAGGATGTGACGTCTACAACGTAACGTTTAAATAGCGGTAGACGTCACGTGAATAAGAGCGCTACCGTACATATCTTGACAAGAGCTTAGATATAAAGCATGAAACATCTCTTAATGGATGTCTACCAAGTTTGTTCAAATAAAGCCCTTGGGTAAAAATTGGCCCCGCCCACGGGGGTCATTGTTTTTCCCTTTATGTATATAGTAAAAACTTAAAAATAGTCTTCTTTTTAAAACCCAAAAGAGTAAGAGCTAAGATATTTAGCATGAAACATCCTCCAAATGTGTCTACCAAGTTTGTTCAAATAAGGGCCCTTGGGTTAAAATTGGCCCAGCCCCAGGTGTCATTGACTTTCTCTATATGTGTATAGTAAAATCTTGAAAATCTTCTTTTAAAAACCCCAATGAGCTAGAGTTTAGACATTAAGTATGAAACATTTTCTAGTGGGTTTCTACCAAGTATGTTCAAATTAGGGCCATTGGGTTAAAATTCGCCCCACCCCAAACAAACATATTGAATAAATTAGATGTTTACTTTAAGTTGGCATTTACTGTCAAGGTCAAATGAATGAAATTCTCTTGTTTTTTTGCTGTAAGTGGCTATAACTTTGTTATTTATGAATGGTTTAACTTCATATTAAGACCCAACATCTTTTAGGTCAAGACCTTCATGTATATCAAACTAAACATTAACCTAGATTCATGTTTGAGCTTGACCCTGATGTTCAAATTATTTAATTTTGACTGAGTATTGCTATAAATGGCTATAACTTTGTTATTAATCAATTGATTGACAAAACAACATTTTTGGAAAAACCTTCTAAAAGGTTGAACTGACTTTGAGCTCTAAATGACCTTGACCACAAAAACAAAGTAATGACTTTTGGTTAAGTTGTCATAGTTTCTTATATATGTATGGATTTGATACATATGTGGACAAAAATACACTTGTGACCTAACAGACATGTTAAATAATGTAGATAAGTCCTTGACCTTTAAATGGCCTTCACCTCAAATTATTATATTTTCTTAACTATGCCATTTGTTTATGGAAAGGATTCATATTATGGAAAGGATTTACTTAGACGTGACTAGACTGACCTATTAAAATTTAAAAAATGAAACACTTTTTTATCTATAATTATCTTTTTAGCTCACCTGTCACAAAGTGACATGGTGAGCTTTTGTGATCGCTTTTCGTCCGGCGTCCGTCCGTCCGTAAACTTTTACTTTAAACGACATCTCCTCATAAACCACTAAGCCAATTTCATCCAAACTTCACAGGAATGTTCCTTTGGTAGTCAACTTTAAAAATTGTTCAAAGAATTTAATTCCAAGCAGAACTCTGGTTGCCATGGCAACCGAAAGAAAAAAACTTAAAATATCTTCTTTTAGAAAACCATAAGAGCTAGAGCTTAAATATTTGGCATGAAACATCATCTAGTCAGTGTCTACCAAGTTTGTTCAAATAAATGATTGGTTTTCCTTATTTGTATATAGTAAAAACTTAAAAAATCTTCATCTAAAAAACCCAAATAGCTAGAGCTTAGCTATAAAGCTATAAAGCATGAAACATCTTAAAAAAGCTTAAAAAATCTTCTTAAAAAAAAACCTTTAGAGCTAGAGTTAAGATATTTAGCATGAAACATCTTCTAATGAGTGTCTACCATTTTAGTTCAAATAAGGGCCCTAGGGTTAAACTTTGCCCCGCCCCTGGGATCATTGATTTTCCTTATATGTATATAGTAAAAGCTTAAAAAATCTTCTGTTACAATTCCAAAGAGCTAGAGTTTAGATATTAAGCATGAATTATCTGCAAATGAGTGTCCACCAAGTTTGTTCAAATAAAAGCCCTGGGGACAAAATTGGCCCGCCCAGAGGGGGGTGGCATTGTTTTCCCGATATGTCTATAGTAAAAACTTAAACAATCTTCTTAGAGCTAGAGCTTAGATATTTATCATGAAACATCTTCAAATTGGTGTCTACCAAGTTTGTTCAAATAAAAGCCACTGGGTTAAAAATGGCCCACCCCCGGGGGCCTATATACAGGTGAGCGATTTCAGGGCCATCATGGCCCTCTTGTTTGAAATATTTGTTTAAAACATTTATTTGTTTGCTTTCAGAAAAATGTTAAGAGTTGAATGTTGTTTAGCAAATTCATTGTTTTGAAGTATGCAAATAGCATAAATGTTTACTTTCTTTTAAATTGCTATTTTGATACATTGGTTTGTCAGTTTTTAAAATTTTTGCTGTTTCTATTTTATTATAATTCTTTTTGCAATATTGATCTCCATTTCAAATTAACAATTTTAATAAATCATTTAAACTGATCATACTTGACTTATTGTTTTGTGAGAATTTCATGAATCTCTGAGGATGAAATTTTGACATTGATTAGTAATGTACTAGTATTCACAATCACTGATAGTTTATCCCTGATGGAACACTGATTATGCATATTAAATGAAAGATATTTCCTCCATTTTCTGAACACTATCCAGTCTATATACACATGGGTTAATGATAACTTGTATATCAGATTGATAATAACTATAATCCCAAAGAATGAGCATGTTTTTCATATGCCTTATAAGTAGATGAAATTAACAATGCTTAGTCATTGTTTAATAGAGGAATTGGTTATCTACATCCAGTTTCTGCTTCTGTCAGTAGTGTACTCTTAAAATTTATCCAACTTTCAAAGTATTATTTTGAGGATATTTTTCGATCTCAACTGAAGCATTTGAGAGACAAATTCTGGTTTTTAGTACTTTTTATATACCGTGTTGTACTTGTCAATGATGTATCAATCTGAATTAAATCATATGGCAACATATTGCACATTCCTTTCCGCTTAAATATGACATGATCTTTTTCAAAAAGTTGCAAACGCTAAAATCTGACAGGAAATTTGGCCTATCAAGTGATCATCAGAGGTATAATGTCTGAAAATTTGTGAGCGCGATCGACCCTCCAGTGCTTTCATTGCTTTGATTGAAAATATAGAGAACAAACTCAGTTATTTTTCCCAAAATCCATAGGAACAACCTGGCAATATATTCAATTTCTGAAAGTAATAAAGACTTTTGCTGTGGTATTTTATGATTTAACATATTTGTATGTTACCAAAGTCTCATCCATCCAAACTTTTAACATGATTTCGTAGAAATAATTTTTTTTATGATTGCAAGAATTGTCCAATTATTTATATTGCAGAACACTTAAGTTAGTTAAGCTTAAATCTTCGTTTTTAGCTGTAGTAGTGTCAGTTATGTCTATAGTAATGGTTCAAAATTTAGAATTTTATTTTTGTATGTACAATATGTCAATTTTATGTCATGTAACATTTAGGTTCTTTTAAAAAATATTTCACCTCTGAATGCCATCACATCTTGTTAAACCTATTTATGTTTTCTTCCTTAAAGACCTTTTTACGACGCGGTCCGTTGCTATGAAAAATCGATCGGAAGTAGTATTTTTCCACGCATGCGCAATCTGCGTAGGGCAAAAGGCGCATAGAAAAATATAGAAATATAGAAGAAGTTCATAGACAATTCCGAGTTAGTTTAAGGTTAAAGGTAGAAAATTATATAAATAAATTTTTAACAAAAATAGAAGATTCTTTTATAGCTTTGTTGCCAAGATTGCAATACAAAGGCATGGAAAAGGAAATTGTTAAAGAATTTCAACCTGACATTGAGATTTTTTTAAGAAAATGTGAATTATATCTTTTATTCAAATGTAAACTTAATTGTTGTTGAAATAGTTCATAAAAAGATAAAAGAAATTTTATAACGTATGAAATCGAGGTTAGTTATCATTCTGAAAAAAGTCAGAACAGACACGGTGATAATGCAATTTTAGCGTTCAGTTTACCTGATTTTATCCTTTATTTGACTGTGATGCAAAGCAGATAATTTTTAAGTCACATAAATATATCTTAAATTGTTTTTTTTTTCAAAATCTTTAAAGAAAGTGAAATAACACACAAAATTTATCCTGTTCTTCGTAACACCTGTCAATATTTTTTATGCAAGTCACACTAATTGTCACTTCTCAAAATCAATAAACATTGATGAGATTGGTATATATAAAAGTTACTTAAATTACGATTTTCATAATAGTACGTGATTAAATATGTCATGATACTGAAACGTTCCGGTTGAATGATATTATAGCTGGAAACCTGGAAACAAACAACCCCGTCGCGTGTCAATCTTTTTGTCACTTACCGCCTGGCTGTACAACACACATTTTGTAATATTATGTT